GGGCCCTGAAGAATCATGTCCAGCCCCTGAGACCTAGCCCAGGGACTTCCAACATTTGCCGGGCTAGGAACCAGTGAGGGAGCCCTGTGCCCTCCTCCCCCGCCCTGATGCCTCCCGTGGGTGGCCTCCAGCTGCCCTGCTGACTGGAGGGAGCAGGCACCTTTCTCTGGGTTCAAAGGACCGGGCCCTAGGAGCAGGGCTGCAGGAACCGCGCCTGAAGGGCCTCGCCGGGTGGGAGCATCGTGCAGGGAAGAAAGGGAAGGGATGTAGCGGGAGGCAGACCAGGAGTGGAAAGGATTTGGGGTGTGTGTGTGTGTCTTTGTTTTGTTGTTTATAGGGAAGAGAGTTGAACCTCCAATCAAGGGTCGGGAAAGCGGAGTCCACCTCCCAAGGGAGGAACTAAACAGAAAGTCACAAGGCAGCCGGCGTGGAGAGGGTGGGAAACGGACCAGACCTCAGCCCTGAACTCCAAACTGGTCTCTCCAAGTAACTTTCCCCTGGGGGTCTCAGCGGCCCAGGACCAAGCCTCAAGTGGGAGCTTCCATCTCAAGGAACGGTGAGACTCTGTCCACTCGCGTGAGGAGGAAATCCATCTCGGCCCTTGACACCTTCCTCTCCCGAACCTCTCACGTTCGGTCAGTCCCCAAGTTCGGAAAACCTTACTTTCCAAACAAGCCGCGGATTGGGCCCTCTCCACCACCCTGCAGAGCCGAACCATGGACCCGCTCTGGACGGCGAGGCTGACTCCCCCAGCGCACTCGGTTCCACACCCCAGGCCCACAGTGACTTTCCTGCCTCGTCCTGGGGTGAGGACCAAAGTGCTGACCTGGCCCAGCAGACACGCATGTCCCCACCGCCCGCCTCTCCAGCCTCGTCCCTCTCCCTCCGGCCTGGCTGACTGCCCTCAGCCCCAGGTTGCTGGGTGCCCCTCCCCCCTACCTGCCCCTCAGACCTGCCCCCTCCCAGTCCCACCTCCCAGAGGGCAGGTTTGGGTCCGAGAGTGCCCTTTCCCCTCACTACACAGCGCTCCTGCCCCCGCCCCGTGCTCCTGTTTAACCCTGAAACAGCCTAAGAAGTGGGCGACACCAGGGCTGTGGGCGGGGACAGGCCCACTCACGAAGGAGCCGGAGGCTCGGAGGCTCAGCTCATCGCACCCAGGGAAGCAAGTACATCTGCTTGGAAAATCCTGATACTGTGAGGAAGCAGAGAAGTTAGTGCTGCGATTAGCAGTTCCTCCCTCTTAACCTTCTCCACCCCCCCTTCCCAGTCTCTCCCTGGTGGTCCCTCCTTCCCGCACTCAGTAGCTGGCCTGTCCCTTTCAGTGCTTCCCAAGGAAGCAGCTTGACCGTCCTTCCCACAGACTGGAAAACGTCAAGGGAGAACTAAGACGGTGCCTTTCCTCAGCCCTGCATCGGGCCAAATTCCACATAAAGGACCAACATCTGAGCAACAGAGCTGGGATGCAGCGACCTTGAACTTGCTGGAAGGCGGCCGAGGTCCAGGTCGATGGAGTGGGTGGTGGAGCTACGGCCGTTCTCCCAGGACACACCGCTCGGCCCTCCCAACCTCCTCCCGGCCCGGCCTGCAGAGGCCCTGAGAGCTCGGAAGCTGATGACAGGAAGGCCCTTTCTGCACGTGCTAGCGGAAGCCCGGCTCCCAGAGGAGGGCTCTGTCGTGGGCTTGGAAGCTTTTGACAAGACCCTGCCCCCGCCCTCTGAGGGTTTCCTGAACTCAGGACTAACATCCCAGGTTTTTCCGGTTGGGCTGAGATTCCCCTGCCCACTGCCCGGACACTAGTGGAGCATGGGGCACACACCCAGCAGCACCTGCCCACAGGGAAGAGCAGGGCTGCTTCCTGACTGGACTTCCAGCCCCGCTCATGGGTGTCACAGCGACTTCCAGAGGCGTGGACCACTCCTGAGCCTGCGGGAGCCTGAGCCTGCGGGAGCCTGAGCCTGCGGGAGCTGAGCCTGAGCCTGCGGGAGCCTGAGCCTGAGCCTGTGGGAGCCTGAGCCTGAGCCTGCGGGAGCCTGAGCCTGAGCCTGCGGGAGCCTGAGCCTGAGCCTGAGCCTGCGGGAGCCTGAGCCTGCAGGAGCCTGAGCCTGAGCCTGAGCCTGCGGGAGCCTGAGCCTGCAGGAGCCTGAGCCTGAGCCTGCGGGAGCCTGAGCCTGAGCCTGCAGGAGCCTGAGCCTGAGCCTGCGGGAGCCTGAGCCTGAGCCTGCGGGAGCCTGAGCCTGAGCCTGAGCCTGCGGGAGCCTGAGCCTGAGCCTGCAGGAGCCTGAGCCTGAGCCTGCGGGAGCCTGAGCCTATGGGAGCCTGAGCCTGCGGGAGCTGAGCCTGAGCCTGCGGGAGCCTGAGCCTGAGCCTGCGGGAGCTGAGCCTGAGCCTGCGGGAGCTGAGCCTGAGCCTGCGGGAGCCTGAGCCAGAGCCTGCGGGAGCCGAGCAGCAAACAGGACTCCCGCGGTTCTCGTCTCCCTCACTGTCCTTTGCTCAGGGGCCGCCGGGCTGGTCACCATTCATCCATTTTCCTCTGAGGCTCTAAAACGTTGCTTCTTACAGTCATCCTGGTGGATTTACGCCTTTTTCATTCAAACCCCACCCGGTTGTGGACATGAGTGGCAGCAGCACTCGAGGGCACGGAGGCGGAGTGGCGACCATGGTCCTGTTAGACGGACAGCTGGCAGGAAGGACACCAGCCTGCAGCCACACGGTTCTGTGGGGCGTGAGCCACCATTTGGGGGCGGGGGTGAAGGAAGTACCTGAAGTAGCAGACAGACACGTGTGGGGCTCACCGGGAAACGAACACACCTACTCCGCCCACTCGATCCCGGGGCCTCCCCAGCTTCACGCCCAGCCCACCTCCGGGCAGCATGAGCCACAGGCCGGTCCCACCACCTCCCCCAGCACTGTGGGGTCAAACGCTCTCAGGGCACACGCCCTTCCAGCCAGAAACCCAAAGTGGCCCAGCGGGACAGCTGTGCGACCCGGGGACCTCCCTGGAGCGCCAGCCCAGCGCCGGTCCAGGCCCCGCTGAGACAAACTGCCAGCAGCCTCCCAGAGCCAGACGCTCCCGCAGCTGCGACAGAGTCCAGGCCAATCCCACGCAGGGTGGCCCACAGAGTAAGGCGCCGGAGGGAGGGACTGCAGGGGACAAAGCCTTTATTAGAGTCCCAGCAACACATCCAAGGTGTCCGTCATACTCCGAAAGCCCCACCCGCACAAGAGCGAGGACGCAGGCCCCGGCCACCGCACACCCTCAGCAGAGCCGGGAGAGGCGTGTCCGCGGAGCTGCCCCCAGACGGAGGCTGGCCACGGGGCAGTGCACCCTGCTTTCGCAGGACAGCGGGGGCCACAAACACCACACTCACCCCGATCTGTGCACAGTCGCACACTACTTGGTGGGGATCCGAAACCGAAGCACCTTGAAAAGAAAGGACACCCTCCCGGACGCTGAGCGAGGACGCTCTAAAGCTCCCTGCTCTCCAGCTCCGCCTGCCGAGGACGAGGAGGACACTCTGCACAGGATCCACAGGAGTCTCTCGTGGACTCGGAGTGGCCACCGCCGCCAGGACTCCGCTGCCCGTCCCACCCGGGCACAGGACCTGACAGCCCGCTCCTGGATGGCACTCCTGGATGACAGCGCTCTGACCTTCAACAGCACGCAGGCCACGCTCAGCACCCGAGAGGGCGTCTCCGCTGTGACCAGGCACACAGCTGGGCTGGGTCCCTGACTTTGGGACCCCAGAGAAGGGCAGAGGAATTCTCAGCTTGACAAAGGCAGCCAACAATTTGTTTTGCAACCAAGATTTTTTTTAAAATAAAATATTGCTATTACCAGCTCATTAAAGGTCATTTTATCATCCAAATTCAGAAGAACATAATCTCAGAATAAAAGACAAGCCTGTGCGCTGAATAAGCCTGTTTCCTAAGCTACGTAACGGGCGTCATACTTCCGACCTGCGCAGGGCTGCTGTGCCCAAGGCCTCAGCTGTGGGCGCCAGGGCTCTCACTGCCCCACGGGCACAAGGTCAAGCCCAATCCCCAAGGTCACCGGCCACCTCGAGGCACGTCCAGCAGTCACAGAACAGCTCGCCGGGGACAGGCTGCTCGGGCTGCGGCCTCACGTGGTCTCCTTGCAGAACCCGGTGGGACGGCGCCTGCGCTGAGAGCAGCCTCCCTGGCCCCGACCTGCCCGCACAGGCGCTTCCTGGGCAGGTGCCCTGCCTCTCCTCCCAGCTCTGCATGAAGCGCTCGCTTGAAGAATCAGCTCGTGAAATTGAAAAACACTTAGAATGATGGCACTCAGGCCTGATACACCAGAAACTGCTGACTGCCCTTTCTTTTTTCTTTTTTTAATATTGATTTTTTAAAATATGTTTTTATTGATTTTTTTTAGAGAGATACAAACATCGATGTGAAAGAGACACAGAAGCACGCCCCCTACTGGGGATGGAGCCCACAACCCAGGCAGGTGCCCTGACCGGGAATCAAACCGGGACCTCTCAGTCCGTGGGACCACGCTCCATCCACGGAGCCACACCGGCCGGGCGAATTGTCCTATCGTTTTTAAAGTACCTGTTTAACAAGCACATGTTGACAGAACTTACCAAGTGCCACAGCAGACCACGAAGGCTGGAGCCTGGGCCCTGGCTCCAGCATCAGGGAGCCTGCGGGTGGCAACCAAACACTGTGTCCTCTCTCCCCTCCCTTCCACTCTTAAATAATCAATGGGGGACATATTCTCAGGTGAGGATTAACAAAAACAAACAAGAAATAAATAAAACAAAGCATCACTGCCTTAGCATTGGGGCACAAATAAATAAATATATAAATAAACCATCCGAAAAGGCACAAACCTGCAACACGGATGGGCTTGGGAAATACATTCCAAGCCGCACCCAGGATGCCAAGGCTGAACTCTGAGCCACCAGCGCTGCGCCCGCCCCCGCCGAGCCAGCCAGGCAGCAGGGCCCAGGCCCAGGCCCCCAGGACGTGGGGACAGGGCGCAGGAAGCTCTGAAGGACAGAGCGGTGCTATCCTGCAGCCCCACCTCGCGACAGACAAGGGCGCGCTGGTGGGGAGCCAGCTCACACCCCGCCACTGCACTCGGCACACACACCTCCAGCCACACTCAGCCCGGGGACCTGACACAGAGGAAGCGCAGGGCCCTGTGTCCGCGCCTCCCAGCGAGAGCAGCCCAGGGCCGGCCGGTGCCCAAGCACCTGGGATGCAGTCACAGCCCAGGGAACAGCCGTCTGCCCGCAGCGGCCAGGAGGTCAGGGCAGCACAGGATGGGCTTGCAGGGCGAGGAGCAGGCTCAGCGTGGCCAGGGCCTCCCCCTGCGCGGAGATCAGCTACCCTCGGCTGCTACTGGTGCAGCAGGAACCTCTTCACGGGGCCCGGCAGCGGCAGCGAGGGGATCTGGTGGAGCCGGTGCTTGCCCAGAGCTCGCCTCACGGCCACGCGGCACAGCTGCAGCAAGGTCCGGGGGGCACCTGCAGCGCACGGAGAGAAGGAGACGGAGGGCGGGTCAGCACCGCCGAACTCTGACGAGCACAGGCTGGCTGTGGCCCACAGGCGGACCGCACGGTGCCCACTGCCAGCCTCCAGTTCAGAGAGCGCCAGCCCCGGGCAGAAAGGCCTGCTGCCTGCTCCCTCGGGGGCAGAGAAACCCTCCGACCTGGGCACCTCCTCAGCTGCTCACTTCCGCGGACAGAGAGGTGAGAGCTGGCCCAGAGGGCTGGACGACTGCCCCACTGTCGGCCTCTGCTCTGGCCCATCTCAGAAGCCCTGGGGAGCCGGCTGGGTGGCAGGTGAGGGCAGGCGGACAGCTTTGCTCTGGTCCGAACAGCCACCACGCCTCTGCCGTATGCCACGCCGCCCTATCAGGACCCCCGGGGCCGCAGGTGTGTCAGCCACTGCCCCCGGGACCAGCAACCAGCACGACGGGTGCGGAGTCTGCGAGGGAGGCAGCTCTCAGCGCAGCACGCAGGTGGCAAGGGGCTGGCGGGGCAGGTCGGAGGGCACAGCAGCCTGCACGGGGCATTCGAGGTCAATTCTGAGTCCCAGCGAGCCTCTGACAGGACCCGCCCCGCCAGCTGCAGACTCTCCAGCTGTTACTATTTTACTTGATTAGCAAAACGTTCATGCATAAACAAGCTATGGACTTACTCTAACAAAAATTAGACTTATCACACAATCCAAACCAAGGGAAAGGAAGTGGGAAACCCCAGAAGATGGGCTTGCAATCTGTTTAAGGCAAACATTTAAAAATCACAGAGCCCGGCCGGTGTTGCTCAGCGGTTAGAGCGTCGGCCTGCGGTCCAGAGAGACCCGGGTTCGGTTCCCGCTAAGGGCATGTACCTCGGTTGCAGTTTGTCCCCGGCCCTGGTTGGTCGTGAGGGTGGCAGCCACTCGATGTGTCCCTTTCACATCAATGTTTCTCTCTCTCTCTCCCCCCCCTCCACCCCCTCCTACCCTATCTGAACAAAAAATGGAAAAATGTCCTCGGGTGAGGCTAAAAAAACAATCAAAAAGAGCCCAGCCAGTGTGGCTCAGTGGTTGAGTACCATCCCATGGACTGGGAGGTCACTGGTTCGATTCCTGGTCAGGGCACATGCCCAGGTTATGGGTTCGACCCCTAATAGGGGGCGTGCAGAAGGCAGCCGATCCATGTTTCTCTCTCTCTCCTTTCATCTCTCTCTAAAAAAATCAATAAAAACATTAAAAATAATAATAATAATAAAAATCAAATAGAACCCTGCCCGGTGTTGCTCAGCAGTTAGAGCATTGGCCCGCGGACCGGAGAGTCCCAGGTTCGGTTCCCACTAAGGGCAAGTACCTCATTTGCAGTTTGTCCCCGGCCCGGTTGGGGTCGTGTGGGTGGCAGCCAGTCGATTTGTCTCTCTTACGTCGGTGTTTCTCTCTCTCTCTTCCTCCCTCTCTCCCTCCCAGTCTATCTGAAGATAATTGCAAAAATGTCCTCAGGTGAGGACAAAATCAATCAATCAATCAATCAATCAATCTAGAGCCTGGCTGTGTGGCTCAGTTGGTTGGGTGTCTCCCAGAGATTTTTTGTTTTATCTGGTTTTTTTATTTATTGATTGATTTTAGAGAGAGAGGGAGAGGGAGAGATGAAAACATCGATATGAGAAACACTGACTGGCCGCCTCCTGCATACCCCGCACTGGGGATCAGGCTCACAACCGGGGCATGTGCCCTGACCGGGAATCGAACCGGCGACCTCCTGGTGCAGGGTCGACGCTCAACCACTGAGCCACACCGGCTGGGCAGCTGGAGGTTTTCTTAATTGATACAACTTGGTTCATCCAAGTGACCCAAACAGACTGCAAGTCGGAGCTGAACTAGAGCCACTCACTTCTGGCCTCTTTGAAGACCTGCAGAGCCTCGGGGTCCACCTTCCTTCTGCCTCTGGACTCTGGGCCCAAGGACTCCCACTTCACCAGGTTCAGGTTGGCTCCGAACTCGACCAGCAGGCTCACGAAGGCCGCCTCACAGCCGTGGCGCAGCACGGCGTCCATGACGCACCCAGGGGAGCCCCTGTAGAAGCCCTGCGTGTTGACGGGCCCGTTGCAGTTGAAGTCGGGGTTCGCCCCCGCCTGGAGCAGCAGCTGGAAGCACTGCAGGTTGTGGTAGGCTGCGCTGATGTACAAGGGGCAGACCACCAAGGAGGTGAGGCGCCGGGAGAACGGGGGCCGGATGTCCGGGATCATGTGGTGGTTGATGTCGACGTCGGCCCCGTACCTACAGGGGAGACACGGGACGATCGGACCGGGCAGTGGACTGAGGGCAGCAGACCCCACGGCTCTCAAGCCGACGGGCCTGGACTCGGGGAGCAGCCAGTGAGCAGTGGAGAACTTAACCCACTCAGATTCTTTTTTTTTTTTTTTAATCCTCACCCGAGGACATTTTTCCACCTTTTGTACAGATAGAGTGGGAGGGAGAGAGAGAGAGAGAGAAACATCGACGTGAAAGGGACACATCGAGTGGCTGCCACCCGCACGACCCAACCAGGGCCAAACTGCAACCAAGGTACGTGCCCTTAGCGGGAACCGAACCCGGGTCTCTCCGGACCGCAGGCCGACGCTCTAACCGCTGAGCCAAACTGGCCAGGGCGCCACTCAGATTCTTAACGAATTTCCTTCATCTTCAAAGACCCAACAATCCCACAGCTACTTAAACTATTAAAAGAAGGAAAACTTCCAAATGTATCTTGAGATCACCAAAACAATAATCCCCAAACCAGCTAAAGGCCACACCATAAAGAAAAACTACTAACTAATTTCACTTTGAGTATCAAGACAGCCTTCAATAAGATGTTAGCAAAAAGGATCCAAAAACATTAAGAAAGCAACACACTGTGACCTCATGGGGGTCACTGCAAAAATGCCGGGTAGTTCCAATGTTAGAAACTATTAATATAATCCATCATACTCAGAGAACTAAGAGAGAAATCATGATTATCTCTGTAAATGCAAAAATACACACATGATAAAACTCAACATTTAATGCATGTTAAAGATACTCAGTAAAATGGTAAATGATAGATGTTTCCTTAACACAATAAAAATACTTCCTCATGGCCCTGGCTGGTTTAGCTCAGTGGTTAGAGCGTCAGCCCGTGGACCGGAGAGACCCGGGTTCTGTACCCACTAAGGGCACGTACCTCGGTTGCAGTTTGTCCTGGCCCCGGCTGGGGTCATATGGGTGGCAGCCACGCGATGTGTCTCTCTCACATCAATGTTTCTCTCTCTCTCTTCTCCCCTCTCCCTCCTGCTGTATCTAAAGAAAAATGCAAAAAAAAAAATGTCCTCAGGTGAGGATAAAAATAAATAAACACTCCCTCCTGCAGAAGTCAAGGAAACACTAGGGCTCTCCTGCGAAAACCAGGAGCAACACCCACGCCCACCTTCCAGCCACTGCTCTAGTTTTGTTGTTGTCAACCCTCACCTGAGACTTTTCCACTGATTTTCAGAGAAAGGGAAGGAGGGAGGAAGAGAAAGAGAGAAACACTGACGTGAGAGAGACACCAGTTGGTTGCCTCCTGCATGTGCCCAGACAAGGACAAGGATTGAGCCTGAACCCAGGCACGTGAGGACATGAACCTCGCAGGGCAGGTGTGGACGAGCCTGTCTCCTGGGCTCCACGGGGAGAGGCCTCAGGGCCCGGGGGTGGCAGTGCCGCCCTCAGGGAGACTTCCTACCAGGCATCTGAGCTTTCCAAGGCCAAGCTCAAGCTACTGACCTGGGTCATTTCACTGTACGCAGGGGCCGCTGACCGCAGTGGGAGGAGACCTGCTCGGGGGCCGTGTCCTGGCAGAGTGAAGGGGGGCTGCCAAGGCCATGCCCGGCGGGGGCGTGAGGGGCGTGGGGGGCAGCGGGGACGGCAGACGGGTTCCCTGCAGACCGCACAACCACTGTGTGCGGAAGGGAAGCCAGGTCTCACCCTGGAAGAGACGCGGGAGGCAGCCACCTGAGCACAGCGCCGGTGCCCACGGACACACGGGCCGACGTGGGACTGAGCTCCGTCCAGCGGGCGGCCTGGAACAGCGACACGGCCGCTGCACGCACGCTCGGGCCAGCCCTGCTCTCACACTCCCCGCCCGAGGACCCAGGGCTCCCTGGGGAAGGCTCTTCCAGGGCTGACACGGAGGTCCGAGAGGGGCCGGGGATACCTCGGCGCGTGGGGGTGCAAGCGGTTCGGAGCACCGTGGGGACCCGGCTCGATGGGCTCCCTGTAGCCACAGCTGACCACGAGAGCATCCAAAAATGAACAATACAGTTAAATAGTCATAACTCAGTGGGTGATACAGAAAACTAGGAGTCTAACGCGAACACGAATAAACGGAAACTGATGAGGGACAGCGTCAGTCAGACGGGACGAAGGCTTCACGCGGGGCCGAGACCCCAGGAACCGAAGGGCTCCGTGGGCGTCCGCGGCAGCAGGCCCGGCTGCGATCACAAGCCGCCGGCAGAACGCAGTGGGACGCCCAGCCTCTTCCGTGGGTCTCGGCAAGGACACGTCCTGCCCCCGTCCGGCCAACACCTGCCGGCGGCACCTGTGGCCCTGGGCCACCCCGGCAACGCTCCGAGCTCGGGCACCCCACACTTCGTCGGTCAGGAAACGGAGTGTGGGCAGTGACGACTGGGCGGGGACAGCACCGTCCTCCATGCCTTCCAAAGGCAGCTGCCGCAGTCACCGCCAGCAGCTAGCTCTGTCCTCGGCCGAACCTCCCTGCCACCCTGAGAGGGGACGGCACAGACCCTGTGCTCGGGACCGTCAGCGTCCCCACTGCCGCCACCGTGTGGCATCATCAGACACTACAAATGCAAGCACCACCCACTGTCCCGGACACGCCAGGGGGACAGGGACACAGTCTACCACACACACCAAATCTCACAGAAACTACTTCGCGTCACATGCACAACCAATTAGAAAGGGAGAACTAGATTTGAAGCACTGATTATTGATTTTTTTCCCCTCCTTCTTGGGGGACTGTCTTCCAAAATGTTTGTGATTTTGGGCAAAATGACAACCTGGTATTAGCTGAGCTGTGGGAAAGACGGCCCTGCGTCCACTCATAAAAATCGCCTGGATGAGAGCCAGTTCATTTCAATCCTGAATATTTTCCAAAATTCCCTACTGCTTTTAATATCACTGGCAAGGAACCCCTGGGACAGCTCAATAAATCAACGTAACTTTCGCACATAGAGAAACACCACCCCTCACCCAGGGGACGTGTACGGAAGGGGACAGACGCATACCTGCGGAGGGCACCGCCCAGCTCGAGGGAGGACATCCTGCCTGTGGGGAAGGCAGTGCACTCCAGACCCCACTGTCCCTTTGGGGACGCCCACGTCATCCCGTGCCCGTCAGCGCCTCGCCAGCTCAGTCGGGTCAACACGCACTCCTGGGCCCGCACTGGGAAGTACTGCCCGTGCTCCAGGGGGATGACCGTCTGAATGACCTTCTCCACAGGGCGCCGGCAAGCGCACCCCTGGAAGGCGAGCCCGCACTTAATTCAAAGCAGCTGCACCCCAGGAACGAGTGAAGGGCCCAACGGGATTTCTGGGACCAAGTCTCACTGATTGATCCCACTCAGAAACATTTCCAAGTTAATGACTTACATTCTCCAAGATGCAAAAACATGGGGCTTGGATCCCCCGGCCAGAAACCCTCACAGAGGAGGAGACCGCAGCTCTATCACCCTCTAACGTGACAGCCGTATCCCCCACCCCCTTCCAAAGCCTGCTCCACAGCACTTAGCACACAGCACCTATGAAGGAGTAAATACATTCTCAGCACCCAACTTCAAAGCTATGTCATGTGCTGGGCTGGTGAGGGAATGCCAGGGCCCTGCGCCCGCCACCACCCACTGCAACCTGCAGTGACGGAGCCCAACCTGGCCCCTCGGCACTGAGCCCCGGCCCCACACGGCACGTCAACCACGGAAGGGGCTGCCTGAGACGGGAGGGGAAAGAGCCCCTTGGTAGAAAGAAGTCACTGGAGATCATGGAAAATGAAAATGCAATCTGGTTCAAAAAATGGAAAAATGTCCTTGGGTGAGGATAAAAAAAAAATTCCATTTTTTTAAATGAATAAGCATTCAACTCAAAAGGTATAGAAAAAATAAAGTTAAGGAAAACAGAAAAAAACAGAGATTAAAAATAGCAATGAATCAGCAAAAAAGAAAATAGGAGAACTGATAAAGCTAAGACGTAGCTCTTTAAAAGACTAACAAGACAGACAGATCCTCTACTAAGTCTGAATTAAGAAAGAAAGAGAGAAAAAGCAAACACAGAACACAGGAGAGCGTGGCTGCCGGAACTGGCAGCCACGCCACGTCCCAGGGGGCGCAGAGGGCCGGGCGGCCAGGCCTGGCAGTACTGACCTGATGAGGGCCTGCAGGATGTCGGCCCTGCCCACGCGCGAGGCGTGGTACACAGGAGTGCTCCGGTGGTGCCGGCTTCCGTTGGGGTCGGCACCGGCTTCCAGGAGGATCTGGGCACTCTCCAGGTGCCCATTCACCACAGCCACGTACAGGGCCGTCTGCCCCTTCACATCCACCAGATCCACCTCGGCCCCCTTCCGGATGAGGAAGTCCACGCAGTCCCCGTGGCCGGCAGTGGCCGCGATGCGCAGTGGCGTGCAGGGGAGCCAGCCACAGCACCAGACCGACTTCTCGTTGATGCGGCTGCGAGAGAACACAGGCCAGGCAGTGAGGGCAGCGCGGGGAGACACGGAACAGAGTGGGGGCACCCCCGAGCACAGGCACCCCTTTGCTCCCACACTGCTTCCGTGTGCCCTGCTGGTGAACATCTGCACTGGGCTGGACCCGGGCACGTGGCAGGACGGCAACCTGGGAAGGCCCGAAGTCGGGCGGTGCCCTGGCCTCAGCACCCTCCCTGGGCCGAGGCCCCGGATCCGACAGCGCAAACAGCAGCCTGCAGGAGCCGCTAAGGCCGCACGGCCCAGCTCCTGGCCAATGGCAGCAGGGGGACAGGGCAGCCCCAGCTCTCATCGGAGTGACGCTCAGACCAGGGCTCCCCGAAAGGAATGGCACGGCCATGCAGCCCCACGGCAAGACCCGGCCGAGGCACGGATCACCTCCAGCTCCCAAGGCAGCTTTGAGCACAGCTCCGGAATCCAGATCACGGGAGCAGTGACCCAGAAACACGCGGGGGATCGGGGTTCGTCCTTCAGCTGGGAACTGGCTCCACTGGCCAAAGGGACCAAGAACGCTCCAAGGACCCACCAAAGAAACACATAGCAACTCAAAATATGGTCGACAGACAGGGGACTCGTGGTGCCTGGGTGAAAAAGGAAGAAAAAGTCCTTGGAAAAGCAAAATAAACCTGGTCTGAGCCCAGCTGCACCCTATTCCCTCCTGCTGCTTCCCCTGCACGGACACGTCCGCAGGCTGAGGCCTGCTCCGGGCGGCAGCCTGGCAGGGTCTGGGCCTCCGCATGGCAATCCTCGGTGGACAGCGGGGCTTTGCTAACACTGATGATGCTGTCATGGATAATATGAAGGCGTTACACGGAAAAGCAGAAAGAAACCTAATTCTGTCGTATTAGAAACCCTTTTTTTAATCCTCACCCAAGGATAGATTTTCACTGATTTTAGGGGGGCGGGGGGAGGAGAAAGAGAAAAACCGATGAGAGAGAACAGCACTCGGTTGCCTCTTGTACAAGCCCCAACCGGGCATCAAACCCACAACCATTTGATATACCGGACGATGCTCCAACCAGCGGAGCCACCCGCCAGGGCAGAAACCATTTTCTGAGGAACAACCCACAAAGTGACATCAGAGTCTATAGCCACAGGCAGGCATTTCTCCTCTCAAGTCACCGCCATCCCAGCCTTAAAGGGGAAACAGAAACCGGAAGAGCATGGCGGAGCTCTGGTTGTGTGTTTCAGTCCCAGGCCCGGAAGCAATCAGAGAGCACCCCCGAGAAGAGGCTGCTCTCCCAGGTGCCCCAAGGGGAGAAGCAACAGCAAGACTCTGCTGCTAGGAAGGAAGGGCCTGGGCTCCTGGGCGGACTGGCAGGATGTGGCAACAGGCAGGGCGCTGTGGACAAAGTGAACAAGAAACTGAACACCCAGCGCACACCTAGGCGAGGACACAGCTGTCCCCAGGCCCTGGAGGCAGATGACCAAGGACCTGAGAAGTCAGAGAGGAGTACACCAGGAATGTCACGTATGGTACATCGGAGGCCTGGACCCCAGGGAATAACCAGGAGAAAATAAATAAGGAAGGTGAACTTATGTACACGGCGTAGGATAAAGAGCCACAGACACTTTCAAAGGGGCAGGCCCGCCCTGGCCGCTTGCTCAAGCGGTTAGAGTGTCGGCCTGCAGCCCAGAGAACCGGGTTCGATTCCCGCTAAGGGCACGTACCTCGGTTGCAGTTTGTCCCCGGCCCTGGTTGGTCGTGTGGGTGACAACCACTCGATGTGTCCCTTTCACGTCGATGTTTCTCTCTCTCTCTCTCCCCTTCCCACTCTATCTGAACAAAATATGGAAAAAATGTCCTCGGGTGAGGATTAATAAAAAAGGGGCAGGCCCACCTCGACTGAAGAGGGGAACATGGCTGCCGCAGGAGTGACTCCGAGGAAGTGACACCTAGACAGGCCAGGAGTCGCCAGGAAATGTACAGGTCAAGTGACAGGGCTGGCCTCGAAGTCAGGTCCTCCTGCCCTCGGTACCCGGCAGTCTCCTGCAAGCCTGGCCACCCTCCTCCGCCCTGTGCCTCCGTCTTCCAAAACTGGACAGCACCAGGTCTCCCCGGGCAAACCAGCGTGCGCCGCCCACGCGGGTCACGAGCCTGGCTTGGTGCCGGCCCCAGGCTCACCTGCGGTAGCTCTCCTCCTGCAACAGGCTCCTGAGGGTCTGCAGGTCCCCCACGTAGGCAGCGTCATGGAGCCTCGTGTCCTCGCAGTGCTCCAGAGGGTGGTCACAAAACTGTTCCCTCAGCCACTCCTTCAGATTGGGACCTGCACTGAAGAGGGGCTCCTGTCAGCTCCGGAATCGCGCCCGCACCCACCAAGGGCGCCGTCTCCAGCGACCCCTTCCCCTCCAGACAGAAATCGCTCCCATGCTCCAGAAACTTCCAGAGCACAGAAAAATAGAGAAAGCTTCGCTTGATGAAAGTAGCACATTCCTAACACCAACCTGACAAGAATAGTCATCTTAAAAACGTTGGAGGGATGGGGGATGGGGAGGCAAACCTATTTAAGGCAGAAGATCCTACATAAAACGGGCATCTTGTAAACAATTACACAGCCGGCAGAGGGAAGCTGAGGCCCCAGACTGCCTGCACCCACGCCCTGCCCTGCCAGCAGGTGACCAGCTCAGCTGTAAGGCACAGGCCTCGGCAGGCAGACTCCAATGCTGAGGATGTTTATGTTCGAGTCAAATCTCTTCCGAGTGCCTTCTGTATACAAGCCTCCGCCACAGCACAGTGGGTGATGGGTCTCCCTGCCCCCAGGGCTGCCGGTCCACTGGGAGACACAAAGGGCCACGGGCAGCTGGGCGGGCAGCAGGGTTCACAAACACACGGGTCACTCTACCAGACCTGGAGATCCACGGGCAGGCACCAAGGACCCTGCTGGGGCTGCCACCCACTCCTCCACTCCAGTCACCCCACAGTTGCACCCCATAAAGTGAAGAGTTCAAAGGTTAAGATTCAGAGTGTGTAGGGTGGAGACTGACAGGTGGTGGGAGCCATGGAGCTTTGCTAGGTCCCGCCCTGGGCCTGCCTTTGCTGGCCTCATTTCTACCTGCTCCCTGGCCCAGGCAGCCTCCCGCTCCCCAGCTGCAGGTCCAGATCCAAGGGGAACTTCAGGTTTGGGTTTTCCTGGTCTGCTTCTCCGTGACCACACAATTACCCCACAGAGCACTTAGGCATTAGCTGGAAATCTCTGGGGCCCTTCTTCCCTGGCCTGCAACACGCAAATAACTACACAGTCCTGCAAGGACATAGAGACCCTGGGTGCAGGGCAGCACCCACCTTTCTTCAACAAGACTCCTCTCTTGACTCCTCTTTTCCCAGCTGAACCCCTCATCCCATCCTTCACTCTCACACGAGACGACATCCCAGACCCTAAGGTCCTGGCTGTCCCTGGGGTCAAAGTCAATACTGACCAAAGCCCAGGATGGAAGGGGCTTCGTCTGACTTGCTCCTGTTCAGTGGGATACCCCTGCGCCGGCAAGGTCCAGCCAGTACTGGGGAGGGAAGGATGCAAAGTGCTGCTTGTACCTTCTCCAAGTCAACATTGTATCTTAAATTACGGCACACTTAAGAATAAAGCCTTTAGTTTATTACTAAGGTCTAATAACCTCTTGGGAGGGGTCCCTCTCCAAAGACACGCATGAGCATGTCAAGTCCAGAGCACGCAAAAGCACTGTACACAGGGCAAAGTCAGACTACGGCGGAGGAGGGGATCTCGCCACGGGTTAGGGGGAAAGCGGCCCTGAACGCCTGCGAACGACGCCCTGCCAGTTCACCTCTGCATGGGAGGGCTATTTCAGGGGAGACCCCAAGTCTGATGGCTATTTTGGGGTGCGCGTGAGCCTTCCCAGCCGCCTAAACCTAAGTGTGCCAGAGCTGCGCGCCCCGCTGGAGGGGCCCACGGGCACGCGCGGGGACCCCCGACGCTGCGGGGACGTCCTCGCGGCCGGTGGGAGCGCGACGCAAAGGCACCTGCCGCGCGAGGGGCCGGCCGAGGGGCCTCCCGCACGGGGCCCGCAGAGCGGCGGGTGGCCCCTGTCCTGCGCCCCCCGCTGGGTCCTAGGGGGCTGGCCGTGAACGCGAGCTTCCTGGGAAAGGAGGTGGGCGCGGGGTCGCAGCGGCCGCGGCTGCGCGCACGTTACCTGCGGGCCCCGGCCCGGCCCGCCCGCCGGGGCCGCCGCCCTCTGCCATGGGCGCTCCGCCGGCGGCCCGTCCGCGGCCCGAGCGCGACCGCGGCCACTTCCGGCGCCGCGGGTGGGAGGGTCCCTTCGGGGTAGCGACTTCCGGCGAGCGAGCCCCTCCTGCACGGGCTTCCGGAGCCCCGCGCAGGCCTCCCGGTGCCACCTCGCTGCCCGACCGCAGGGCGCACGGGCGCCGGAGCCGGGCGCGCGCTGTCGGCCCCGCGGCACGGCGCTCGCCCCGCATGCCCAGCGGAGGAGTCTGGGAACAGGCGCTCGCCGGGGGCGGGGCCCAGCCGCAGGCTCTGGGAGCTCCGATTGGTCGGGCCCGTCCCCGCCCCCAAGGAAGGGGCGTGGCCAGCTCCCTGGCTGGGGTGGGCGGGGCCGCGGGAGGTTCCCGAGGCCGGGTTGAAGCCCGACCTCCGCCGGGGCGGAGTGTGGTCCCCGGAGGGCCGGTGGGAGGAGGCCAGCCCGGGGGCTTGGAGCAGCCCGCGGGCGCGTGGATGCGAAGGTTAGAGACTCACAGCTCTGCTTCCCGCAGTAGGCTTTGTGGGAGGGTTACCGCAGCGAGGGGCTTATATGAACGTGGGATTCGATGAATGCGCCCCAAAATTCCTTCCACGAGCTGCTGTCAACCCATGTGCACTGAGTCGATGCTTAAGCATGGGTTCCCTTGGCTCCTTCCAGGCTCCCCACCCGGTTAGAGAGAAGGCTTCTGCGGGGGGGAGGAGCTGGCGCCTCCGTGGATGGCAGGGAGGCCGCACCAGAACAGGTGCCAGTGGGTCTGGGTTTGAGAGGTGAAGTGGGGGATACAGCAGGGAACTGATGAGTGTGAGTCTGGAGCCCCCCAACAACTGTGCATGTGACGCACAGGCCCTTTCTTGTATTGAAATAACAGGACTAGGCTGGAGTAACGGGAGCCTGGTGTCCGGTGCTGAGTTTGACCCAGACACCCTGGATGGCATCACCCGCACTACTGACTTGGCAGGCCCTGCCGGATGTTTGTTAGGGGAAGGGGGCTGTTTGGATTTGATAACAGCGGAGAACACCCTCTGCACTGGGGCCAGGGTGATGCCCATGGTGCTGCCCTTCAGGGAACCAGGCCAGCCCAGCCCACTGACCTCCACCAGAGCTGCACACATAAACACCTGGGAGCTTTCAAAACATGGCAGCCTGGAGACAACCCGAGTCCATCATAGGATGAATGGATAAACAAAGTGTGGTCTGTCCATGCAATGGAATATTACTCAGCCTTGAAAAGGAAGGGCATTCTGACACAGTCTACAACATGGATGAACCTTGAGGACATTATGCTGAGTGAAATCAACCAGTCGCAAAAAAGGACAAATACTACATGATTCCACTCACGAGGTTCCTAGCATAGTCAAATTCATCGAAAATAGAAGGGTAGGTGCCTGGGGCTGGGGGAGGAGAATGAGTTGTTTAATGAACAGTTTCGGGGGGCAAGATGATAAAGTTCTAGAGATTGGTTGCACTACAGTGTGAATATATTTGACACTACAGAACTGTACACTTTAAAAAGGTTAAGATGGTAAAGTTTATTATGTATATGTTACCACAACACAAAAAAGGAAGCCTGGTCCCACCCACCCCCACCCACATGATCCTGATGCAGTTGGTCTGGGTTGTGGCCTGGACAAAGGTTTCTGAGGCTCCCAAGTGATACTCACCTGCAGCCAGGTTGAGAGCCCTGTCCCCACCGGCCTCCGCTGCACGGCCCGGTCATCAGCACCTGTGCACGGAGGGGTTCAGGGGCCTTGGCCTGGCTCTGATGTTGGTGCCCTGGGATCCTGTCCCTTGGAGGAGGACCCGAGGCTCCAGTGGGTCCATGACATCCCCACGCCCTCTTCCTAAAGGCCCAGGGGGCTCAGGGCAGTGCTCTCAACACTAGCAGGTATTGGAAGTGGCACTAACCCTCACCCCATTTTTCAGGACCCTGAGGTCAGGGGACTCCATGCCTTGCCCAAAACACAGGGGCCAAGACGGGACTCGCATCCTGATGGTCCAGCCCTGCAGCCTCTCTCCTCAAACCTCACCTTCTCTGCAGGATCCCACTTCCTCTGGGTCCTTTAAGCCCAACACACCCACCAACAAAGGGCCGCCCAGTGAATGCTGCAGGTGGGACTCATTCGGATCACGTGACCTGCAGCCTGCAGGCATGTGCCCAGGCCTTCCCAGCCGAGGGCACTCTGGGTGTGCCACTAGGACCAGCCTGCACAGAGGAGTGAGTGCCACCTCAGGCACAGTGGGAGCTGTCCCCGCCCCCTCCAAGTCCCAGTGGCACCCTTGCATTTGCCCCCCCACCTCGCCCCCATCACTTCCTCCCGCCCTAGAATCACATACACACACCCCCCGAATCCTGTTGTCATCTGACAGGTCAGGCCTCTCCGTAGCAACCCACTCACCTATATCCCCAAAATAAAACGCCCCTGCTGACTTCTGCTTGGAGCCTAGCCCAACCTGTCAGGAGCATAGCTTGGCATAAAATGTTCCTAATCCTTAATTAGAAATTCCTCTTCTAAGCATTTATTTTAAGAAAATCATCAGATGTGTGAGAGATTTAGCTACAGTGACGCTCATTAAGCTTAATTTTTATAGCAGAAATGTCCAACCATGGTTTTCTGGCTCAGGAGGTCTAGGGAGGGGCCAGAACTCTACGTTAATCAGCCACTGTCCCACCCGGGTTCCCTCCCCCCTGCAGGGAGCCAGGGGCCTCTTCTGCCAACACCGCCTGTGTGCAGGGCAGCTGGGAGTGGGGGCCTCACTGCTGCATGCACGGAGGACCCCAACCCCAGAGCTTGGAGTCTGGTGCTGCTGGCCGCTGCACCCCCACAGCCCAGCTCCAAGAATGGGGCGCCCGATGGCCATCCGGCAAGCAGGAAGCAGGCGGCTCCACGGCCCCTGTGGGCCTGCATTGGGGTGGCTCTTGCCAGGAGACCTCAGGCCTCCGCCCTCTTCTGGAAACCTTCTTTGCCCGCCCCCACCCCACCCCGCTCCCCCTCTGCCCTTGGACTCTGAAGAGGGAGCAGGGGCATTTCTCAGGCTTACCCAGGGGAGGCCGCGAATCCAGGGCAGCCCGCACT